ATATACACCTAGGATGACTTGAGGGTGAGTAATTTATGGGCTAATTTTCATTTTTGGGTGAACTAACCCTTTAAAGTCAGAAATCTGCAGCTGGAGCATGAACAATGGGTACTGATACATCATTGAGTTTGAACCTGCCTTGAATTGTCCCTCACTCAGAAAGCAGTCTGGAGTAAAATGATCTGCGCAGCCAGACATAAACAAATTTAGTGAAAGTGAATTGAATTGACGTGGCTAAATATGGTGTCACATACTCAGAATTGTGCTCTGCATTTAACCCATCCAAGTGCACACACACAGCAGTGAACACACACCGTGAACACACACCCGGAGCAGTGGGCAGCCTTGAGCTGCAGTACCCGGGGAGCAGTTGGGGGTTCAGTGCTTGCTCAAGGGTCTCACCTCAGTCGTGGTATTGAAGGTAGAGAGAGTGCTGGTTATTCACTCGCCCCACCTACAATTCGTCAATGTGTGATGAAGCATCGCTATTTTTAAATTTGTTTTAATAATTTTCTTACTTGTATTAAAGTTGAAAGCTTTCATTAATATTACTATTTTAAAACTATTGGTCAATTTATTCATGATTTATTCCGATTTTCCACCTTGGTTATTGCTGGCAAAATTACAGTCAACTTGTCATTACTGAATAAATTAGTATTTTTAGGAAAACCATTTCTGAGACCATTTTTTTTTTTAGTTTACATTTCTCAGACTTATGTAACTAAACATATTCATAAAATAATCGTTTATTTTGTTACTGATTTATTTTTAAATTCTAAAATGTTTCATTTTGGAATTAAATCTTTCTTTCTTGCTCTTACAGATATACCATTTACTCTCCCAAAGATGGTCAGCCCTGCATGGACCATGACAGACAGACAGGAGAGGTGGGCACTATTTTTAATTAAGAAATACCTTTTTTTCTATAAAATAGGATGGATGTGTGTATCTCTAATGTTCTGTATTGCAGGGAGTTGGTCCTCAAGAGTATACCCTGATTAAGATGAAGATTGTGGAACCTTACCCAGCAAAATTGAGGTGCAATCCATAATAATACGATACTGAATGATTGTCATATTCATGTATCATGGTACTCTAAAGAATTTCATGCTATGACCGTGAGACTAAAAACATGGTACTCTGTTTAAAGACATTTATTTTTTCATTTTCTAAATGTTTTCAGTGGCCTTAAAGGCAAGAAGATTTTTCTGGTGGCTGCGACTCTGAGGCCTGAAACCATGTTTGGTCAGACGAATTGCTGGATTCGGCCAGATATGAAGTACATTATATTTGAGACGGCTAGCGGTGAGCTGTTCATCAGCACGCAGCGGTCAGCCAGGAACATGTCCTACCAGGGCTTTACGAAAGAGAATGGAGTGGTTCCTGTGATCATGAACATCATTGGCCAGGTTTGTGTCTCTAAAACACACTCTGCTTGTGTTTAGTGGTTTTAAAAAAAAAATAAAATAGTAGGCCCATTTTGACAGAATGAATTAACAAGGCAGTGTGGGAAAGCAATTACTCGGGCAGTGAAGGAAATGGAGGATGAACTAGCATCCACAATCCAAAATCGAATGAAACTAGGAATGATAATTATGTAAGAATAATGATGTGCTATTTAAATTGAGTTATATTTACATCATGGTAGTATTTGTTGTACTATTATTATTGTTGTTGTTGTTGTTCTTATTATTGATAATAAAAGTAGAAATATTATACATTTTTTTAATTAGTGTCATAATGTGCCTAAATGTCTTTAAAGTAATGTCACAATGTGAAAAATCTTAGCCCTAAAAATAGTCAATATTTGATTTCTTTTAAAATAAATTTTTTATTTATTTTTGGGGTGAATTTTTTTTTTTAGGGTAACATTTTTATAGCATTCACTCAATGATAATGTGATTTGTTTCATACTATACATTATCATTATACTGTATTGTATTTGTATTATTCTGATTATTTTATAAAATAACAATAACAGTAATTTTAACTTTTTTTTTTTAGAAAAAGAAGAAACCAAATGCCTTAACTACAAAAAAAGTTTTATCACAATTATTTTAATCTATTGAAAATGCAGTGCATGGTGTACCAAATTTAGGGCTGCATGCAAAAATCATAATTGTCGATTATTGCCTTGAAATTGTAATTGCGATTATTAATTACGATTATCACAATTTACATTGAATGATGTTTATACCATTGTTTGATGCAACTGCATGCCGTATTTTTATATGAAAATAAACAAGCTGAAAACACTAACTGAAAAACCTCACTGTAAATTCCAACTAGTAAACCTTACTTAAAAAAAGCATGCAAACCGATTGCCTTGAAAAAACCAAGTAAAGTGAAATAAGAATAATAATTTGTAATAACAAAGGTTTATTTAGTGTTGTAAACTTACACGCAAGTTCTGGTAACTCAGAATCACTATTTTCAACAACTAAATATAATAAGTACAATATACTATGTGCGTATTTCAAACAATTATTTTATTTAAGTTGAGCCAACTCGTGTAACATTTCCTGCAACTTGGAATTTCTAAGTTGTATTTACTTAAACAGCAATCTGATTTACTTGCTAAAATCATGCAAACTGATTGCCTTAAAAAAACCAAGTAAGCGTTAC